AGGGTCAACACTAAAGCTATTATTTTTTTGGTCTCGTCAATATGAGTTGTCGTTTTTTGTTCGTGAGAGAAAAAAAATAGTTTAATTTTTGGAACGCGTAATAAATGTGATTAAATATGGCAAAATCATATGACCATTTGAGTTCGTCAACCAATAAAATTTGCCGATCTTTAATAGCTTTTAATATAAAAATTGATTTTTCAATGTTAATTACTTTCAATGTTGATAATAAAAAGCATTTTCTTGAATTAACTGTTAATAACCGTATATATAGAAAATGATAAAGGGAAATTTAAAATCTTATTATCTGCTTTTAACTTATCAAATTCCTTTATAATGAAAAAATTAGAGATAAGGTTATGATTTTATCAATGTAATTATCCAAACAGACGATAATATTTACTTGTTCTTTTTCTAATTCAAGTTGTAAATTATTGCATCATCTGCTCATCTAAATCTTCACTGAATAATTTAAATAACTTTAATAAACATCTGTCATCACTATCATCGTCACTGTCATCTTTATCCAAGGCAGCAAGCTTCTATCTTCGACAATTTTTTGCCAATTGATCATTAAAGAGAAAGAGCCATCACGAAAAGCTTCTCCTTTTTGATTTTCAAAGTTCTCTCAACTTTTAAGAGTTCTTTTGAATTCTATTTTATAATCTCTTCTGCTGTAAGCTACCCTGTTTGTATATTTATAGATTAGCAAACATTTAGCTGTGAAACGAAATAGATTATACACTATAAATATTAAATTTTAATCTTTACCTATGCTTGAGTATGTCTCAAGAGCTATATTGTAAAAGTTGGAGCTTTACTATCATAACCACGAGCAGGATCAAACGTTGGTCTAGCAGCGGTAGTCATATTTATTAATTTGGTGAAAGACCAAGAAACTAAAAAGAATTAAAGTATTCAAATAAGCATATTTATTAACCGAAATTCTCCGCGGCAAATAAATATGTTGTGACAACTAGTAGTCGTATCATGTGACGAATATATTAGAAGTTCTACTTGCTGGAATAAATTATCTAGAAGTTGATTATCATTTCTAATTTGAACCGATTTCGTAACATTAAAAATGTTCTCTTCTCGTAGGCAACTTGAAAGAAGGACAGGAAAATCTGGGACTCCAAGGTTTAATTTTTATCTTGATTTTTTTTTAAAAAAAAAAAATTAAAAAAAAAACTTATCTCCTTTATAACTGTAGATTTGAATATCTTGAAGAACTTGTTAACGAATATCAAAATACAAATGATCAAAGTAACAAGTTTATTTATTTATTTATTTTAAACTGAATCGCTTATTGATAAGTAATTCTTTTTTCAAGGGGCTAAATATCAAGTATTAGCAAATTTAGCCAATTTTGCTTATGATCCTATTAATTATGAATGGCTTTGGCAGTTAAACGTAGTAGACTTATTTCTCGGTTCGTAATTCTCTTTTCTCAATATTTTTTTAAAACCTTTTATCTCGTAACCATCATTAAAAATTTTCATCGTAACATAACCTTTAGACACTTTAAATGAATCGGATGAAAAGTTGAGGGAATTTGGTTTAGGTGGACTATGCAATTTATGTTTAGGTAATTATAATTTTTTTTTTTTTTTAAAAAAAAATGTAATTATCACTTTAAAATATCATATATTGTTTTTTTTCAGAGTCTCGAAATCAAAAACATATAGTCGAGAATGATGGAATTCCATTAATAATTGATTGCTTATCCAATGAGAATCTGGATACTAAATTATCTGCCATAACAGTTTTGATTTTCTTAATAACACCAACGAGTGAACAATGTACGTTTATAAATATATATATATATTTTTGTAAAGCCAACAAATATTCTTTTTAATGTATAATATTGTGTTTGCTAGATATCTTAACGGATCATGTAAAAGAACAAATGATTAAATTATCGCATTCTGATAATATTCGTGTTAAGAATTTAGCAACCATATTTTTAAAAGATTATTTTTTTTCTAAATTTGACAAACATGTACCAGATGGTGTAGATGATTATGGTAAACAATATAGAAATGAAAAATAAATGAAGTTACTTATTAAAATAACAACCCTTCCGATGGTAGATGTATATAAATTTTTTTATTACGAATGTCCTGTTCAGCTTTATGATACATTTTTAAATAAAAAAAAAATCCCCACAAATAATTATTTTAAAAGATCCGAATAGTCAATTTCTATGACAAAAAATATAGCATCACCTCCTCTGTTTCTACACACAAATCTAAGTGGTTGATTTCTCAACACATTGGACATGCTAAATTTAATAATCATATCCGCATTCATCGTAGAAAAGTTTGTAAAATTATTGAAAAAGTCGCAACAATATATGTGAGAAGGGTTAAAGACGTAATCTTTACGATTAGACTGTTGAGAAAAATAGTTACGACGTTTTGAAGAATTAAAATTCTCTTCAGGCAGGATGACTTTGGTGTCTTCTTCAATATTATGTTTACCGTAATAAACCCAAGGTTCGATGGGCAATAAAGGTGAAGCATTGTTTTCGAAAGTTGGAACTGGAGATGAATGATGTATTTGTGATTTCGTAACTTTCCTCATAGAGATATTGTCAGATTCAGCTTTCCAAACTTTAACAACATTCATACCGCAAATTAACCAACTACCAACCCAAGGTCTTTTTTTTAAGAACATCCCATCAGCATTAAAACCGGGATCAATGTATCCTGCAAATCTAACAGCAAGTGAAGAGCCCATGGGAGGATTAATGCTAGACTCTGTTTCCGCACAGAACAGTATATCATCAAAAGTCCATAAATGATCATCTCTATTAGGATTTGTTGGTTTAAAACGTCCTTGAAATTGAAATGAGAAAAATCTACGACGATTTTCAAAGTATGAACAAGACTTTGTGACCGGGTCATTTTTATGATGATGATTTTGTAATCTAACGGTTATGTAGCCGGTGAAGTGTGAGGAGTTGACAAATAAGGGATGTTTGTCATCGTTAACTTTGTATTGTTGAAGAGAATTGTAAGTTGGTCCTATCTTTATTACTGGCATTTTTCTTTTTATTTATTTTTGTCAATTTTTTTTTTATTATTTTTTAAAATATTTTTTTTTAATAGTTTTTTTTTTTTTGTTTTATATGCTATTTTAAAATGTAAAAATGAAAATTCGGAAGAGTCCAGCTTATCCGTTATTTGAAACCTGTGAGGAGAGAGAGAAAAAATTGAATGAACAAAAAAAAAAAAAAAATTTTCTGGCATATTTATATTTTTTTTTTCTGTGACAAAGGTGACATGTGACGACATATATTTTTTAGGTGTGTGATTATTTGAAATTAATTCATCCTTTGTCATCCTTTGTCGTAATACATTTTAAATTGTGGCTAGGGATGTTTAATGAATGATCGTCCAAAATCGCTATAGACCGGGGGATTGAGATCGATTTTTTGGATCAAATTTTAAATTCTATATTTTTGGGTTATTTGTTAATTAAATTTAATAAGGTACTACTATAAACGTCATTGGAAAGTCCTTGTATTTCTTCGAAATTAAAAACGATTCTTTCTGATTTAGTAAAGAATAATAAAACCAACTTAATTTATAAATGATATAAAATATTCCGTTATTGGTTTTTATATGTGTATATACCTTTTTATGAGGTGCCTTTATCTTAGATTCCTTGATTCCTTTTCGCGACAAAAACAAAAGAAAAACCCACTTTTCATTATTAGCGACAATTTAGAACTGTAACAAAAAAAGGCCTTTCTCTTCCAATTGAGGTTTAAAACCTTTATAAATAAAATAAAGTTATTTTTGTGTGTTATTTGCATATTCACATGTCGTTGTCGACGCATTTATACGATTATTCTTAGCCGACTATGACTATGCTGAATAATTAATTAACTTCTTTTTTTTTGTAAATATAAAACAAATTTCAAAATGCTAAAATTTAAAAATTAATATATAAAAAGAATCCAGAGAAAGCGGAGATTATATTAAATCGCCATGATTGGTTCCTTGTTTTAATTAGGTAAATTTTCTAGAAAGATAAATATGAAATACCTGAAATGGAAAAGGCTCGTAGCTTGAGTAATTAGTAAATAAGGACACGTGACAAACCAACAATTTTGTTCGACTCGCATCATTTGAAAAAGCAACTTTTTTTAAAAAAATTTTGTGACTTGAAACTGATGTTCAATTTGTTATGAATTAAAATAAAAATTTGATTTGTTATCAATTAGAAGACAATGAGGGAATGTTGTATTCTTTCTTGTACGGGCTAAAAATATACATTTCATTTCATTTATTTTTTTTTAAATAATTCCCCCCCTCACGTCATCACAAATTTTTCACCAAAATTTTTTTTTCCTTTTTTTCATGTTACTTTCTTTCCCGTATCCGCGAGTAGCTTCTTGATGTCCAAAAAATTTTCTTTGTATGTAAACTTTTTTTTTTTTTTTTTTTATTATTATTTCCTGATATATATATATATATATATTTTAAATATTTATAAAATGTAAAAAATGGTCACTTTTTAATAGATTTATTTTTGGTGATGCTCTTTCTCTCTCTCTCTTCTCCTTGAATAAAATTATTTATTTTTTTTTATTCAATCTAATATATGACAATCATAAATCCACTTAGAAAACGGTTTATCCGTTCGCGGTCACGACAAAACAGGGAAAGCGATCCTACGGTTTCTGTCAGTATTAACGAAATCCGTGATATGACTACAGACCAGGCAACGCGACAACCTTCGAAACATGCTCAAAATCACTTCACTTATTCTTGGACGATTAGAAGTTTTAATGAACTAGTCACTTTTTATCCTAATACAGGTTTCGTTCTAAGTGATAGATTCTGGTCACCAAGACCTCCATTAACGACTGATTTTCCTTCAACAAAAAACAAACAAAACGATCATCCATACTTATGGCGTATAAAATTATATCCAAATGGTGTAAATGAAGCTGCTAAAGGTCATATATCTTTGTATTTAGTGGCTATACAAACTCCTTATGAAAAGGAAAATAATATAACATTTAGAGAAAAAACTTTCAAGTTGGAAGTATTTCGTCTTATTTCCGATCCTAATTCAACACCTTTTTCATCATCAACCCCTCATCTTATTCGACATGAAACTTTTACCATGAAATTTGAATTTGAAGGTTTAGATGACTTTGGTCGTCATCGTTTTTGTTCGTTTGAAAATTTGTTTCCAAATAATGATACAAATGCAGAAATTGATCTACTCATAAGGGTTCACATTTTTAATACAACCACAACTGATGATCCTACAGATGAACCTATAGAACATATTGAGTCCGAATTCCCTTCTTTTGAACAACATCTAGATGATGGGAGGTTTAGTGATATAGAATTCACTTTCGATTGTGGTTCAGTCATAAAAGCACATCGAATAATTCTTGCTACGAGGTCTTCATATTTTGAAAAATTGTTGGGTGATAAGTGGAAAGAAGGACAAATGAAAACAATACCTATAAAACATATGGCATACACAACTTTTCGTTCTATATTATATTATCTTTACACTGGAAGTTTAGAGGATGGACTTGGATTTGATGTATTAAAAGATATTTATTCAAAAGCTGACATGTTAAATCTCGAAAGATTCGGTGAAATGGTTGCTGATCGAATTGCAGATATGGTAAACGGTGATAACTGGGATGAAATATTAATGTTGGCATGGGAAGTTAATGATGTTCGCCTAAAAGAAGCCGCACTCGATTATGCTGTAACAAAATGGGATGAAATAAGAGATGGTGCAAACATGAAAAGGGTGATGGCTTGTGGTAATATGGATTGGATTGAAGAATTAATGAAGGCTAGATATGTAAGCATGCAAATTTCATAATCATCTCGTCCTAATACTTTTCTCCTATATATATACGTTTGTTTATTTATAATCAATTACTCCAAAAGATTTTTTAAACAATATTTTAATAAACAATATAAAATTCATTTTGTAAAAGAATTTCTTATTTATAAATATAAATAATTTTTTTTTTTTTAGTAAGTAATAGGTACTAAACATTATACATATTTAAAAAAAAGAAAAAAAAAATTACAATCATGTATTATTAACTGTAATTAATAATCTTTCAAAAAAAAAAAAAATGAATAAAAAAAAAAGTAATTTTTTTTTTTTTTTTTGTTGTAAAGAAATTTTCTAATAAAAAAGTGTAATAAAAAAAGATATATATACTAAATAAATACATATATATTTGTAATATATATATATATATACTGCTAAAAAAAAAAATGAATGAAAATACAATAACGAGATAAAAAAATGATAAAAAAAAAATGAGAAAGTACAAATAGAATAATAATAAAATATAAATGAAAAGTACCACTTAAAACCATTTAAACACAGAAAGTTGCTTAAACAGAATTTTCATAAAGTTCAATGTAAACTCAGAAGATAAACCAATAATTAAAAAAATAAATGACATTTGCAAGAGTCTAACAACATATATAATTTTATCTACATCACGAACCACAAACATACTAATAAACCAAAGACTAAAAAACCTTTATTCTTGTCCGAACCCCATAGTTTCCTCTACCGCTAAAGTTAATTTAGATACAAATCTATATAATATAAATAATAGATTTAGAGAGAGAATCTTGGCAATCAAGTAAAAATGAAGGAAATGTTAAAAATGATCACTCACGCCTCATAATTTTTGTACGGTGGCAAATCGATACGATTAAAGCTTTGAAAGGGAAAAACATTTTTTTTTTTTTAGCTAACAAGTTAATGAATTTATCAATAAAGTTAAAGTATTATTTATTATACGTACCAAGTGTGACTTTTTGGAAGTTGAGTAATATCTCCCGCCTTTTCAATAGTAAATCGTCTTGGACCATCGCTACCTTGTAAATCCTTGAAACCATTGACTGGAATACGGGATGTTCCGGTAGTAAACTGCAATAATCGAGATTTCTTTTCAGAATCCCATGATCGGACGCACTATAAAATGTCGTTAATATAAATAAAAGGTTCTACCAACAAGAACAAACAAACAAAAGAACCGAATAAAATAAAATATTGAGAATGGTTACCTCCCAGAACCACTGTATAACTTCATCAGATTCAGTATATCCTCTGTAATCAGTGTGTTTCTTCCAGTCATCTACGTCAATTTCCGCGATACCACCGATTAATAACTGTAATTATAAAGACGAATTTTTCAATCAAGGTAAATCCATTCCAAATTAGCCACGGATTTTTTCCTATGTAGTGATTTAATTAACGAGCTAGCGCAAGTGGCGAATACTTCATTAACTGAAATGAAAATGAACTTTAATCCCTAACCTCTAATTCACGTTCGTCGAAGACGGCAATTAAATCTTGTGGTATAAGCTGGTTAAACCCTTCCATGAACGCCTTGAATTGTTCTTCGATACGTTTAGAAATACGCCATTCCGTAACATGACTAATAAATGAATAAAATAAATAGATAAATAAATAGGTACGGCCGGATAAATGTATGAAATATAACGATAACTCCACGTACTCGATATAATCTTTTTTGTTGTCTTCTGTGACTGGCAATTCTCGACCATTTGGTATTAAATCAACCGTCACTACTTCACCGAAACGTTCATCTTCTGTTGAGAATGTCAAATCTAATACATCGGTAATGTCGTTTTCTCTAATGCAACAGATCAATTATATTAATATACTTAAATATTAATTGAACACATTGCAAATAAACATACAAAGCCCAAGTCAAGCTTCTAAAGAAATCTGCATCAACGCTTTCCATGTCCGGTAAACCAACTTTTTTCTTCAAGATCATTTTATAAAATGAGGTAATGAAGAAAGCGTCTAAAAATCTGCGATGGAAAATTGCAAGACCGACAACCCTTCCAATAAATTTAAAGTAGTTGAGATGCTCAGGATTAATTCCGGAATGAGGATTTATTTGAAGAGTGTAATTATCATGCGCGGAATATTCAAAAAGACAATAGAAAGGATTAAACATTTCATGCGACAGCAAGAAGAAGAATTCTCTAGATAAACCACCATAATCCAACCCATCTTCCCCATCAAATTTGATCATCAGTCGTTTTTTCAAATCTTGAGGTTGTTGTCTCATAATTTCCGAGTAAGCGTCTTCGAAAATATGACTACGTCTAACTTTAATATGGCATTGACCTGGAACCGGACGAAGAGCCGGCTGAGATCTGAAATAAATAAGTTTTCTGCGGAAATCCCTCTTATATTGAGGAACATTTTGACTATAGACCAAATTAAATTAAATTTGTTAGCTAAATTATTCATGCAATCCTTTTTCAAGGAATAAACAATCTATATAAGTCACATACTCTAAGCTACTAGGCAAACGAGGGTCATCCCATGTAGTCGTCTTTGTGTTATGATCTACAAAGTACACTCTGGCAGTACTCGTCAAACGCATCTCCCAACCAGAAGGCAATGGACCAAGTTGAGACACAGGTTGTTGTTGAATGGTGACATTGTTAGCGTTGCCCCCGTACATTCTTATATATTGTTGTCTGCGAGGATCAACCCATGTTGTAGTCCTGGTGTTATGGTCCACAAAATATGGCCTTCCTTCAGGCGTTGTTCTTTGTTCTTGAATGGTTATTTTTTTTTTAAGTATATATATATATATTTCAAATTTCTAATCACACTTTATGGAAATAGATTTATTATTTAAATTAACTTACCCCAACCAGAAGGTAAAGGACCATATCCAGCGGTAGTAGCCCCAACATGACCGACAGGTGCTAATCCGTTTGTTGCTGTAGTTGCGGCAGTGCTAGCGGAAGCTTCTGAAGAAGGCGGATTTGAAATTGAAGTGGTTGAAGTTGAAGCACTTGGCAAAGGAGAAGACGACCCAGTTGGTCGTTCTTCAGGAAGAGTACGATTATTATGGCGGCGACGCTCCAATTCTGTTATATTTTGTTGTTCTTGTAATCTTTGAGCCGATGTTGCATTTATTGAAGGCCTTGTCCAAGTTGTTGTACGTGAATTATGGTCGACATAATATGTGCGCCCGAGATGATCAACACGGCGTTCCCAACTACGAATATAAAATAATTTAACCTTTAATGAACTTAATTAAGAACATAAACACACACACATATATATATTAATTTACCCAGGTGGTAAAGGCCCATATTGATCTTCAAAGGAACCAAACGTTCGACCAGGAGCAGGGGTTGTAACATTTGCACTCTGAGTCGAATTTTGCCCACTAGGTGTCACCGAAGGAGCAGAAGAAGATAAACTAGCAGAATGCGACAAACCATCTGGAGGGTTAACCCTTGGATTTGACGTGGATGATGAAACAGAAACGTTTCGGGTATGACTTGTTGAAGTTGCTCCCATATTTCCAAGCACACCAGGATGATTTGCTGGCGTATTTACATTTGTGGTTAAGTTAATAATGAGTTTACCATGCACTACTTCATTTGCGTTTGACTTTTTCAAATCTCTCGTCAACATTTCTGTAAATGAAAGAATTAAAAGAATTTTAAAAAACAGATATTATTAATAGCTTATCATTAAAGAAGTTGGATCAAATTCCAACCTTGAAATTAAAATATAAATTACGGTTATTTACCATCCCCGCTAGTATTAACGTCAAACACATCACCAACTTGCACATTGATAACACCTAAAAATCCTTGATCCTTCTTTTTAAATTTTTTCTGGTCAAAAATTTGAACAGCTATAACGCTTTGATTTGATACTCGTCTATATATTAATACAAATCGATTCAAAATTAAATAAAATTTAATGGAATTACATGTCTAATCAAGAAGAGATTTAGAATTAGGATACATACATATCAAAGCTTTCGTTCCAATATGGATTCAAAGTTTTCTTTATAACGGAGGTGGTATGTGTTTGTTCTCCGTCAACGGTAACTACTGCGAAAGGATCGGGTAATCCTAACAAGGCATGAAAAGTGGCATAATTTAGGACAGCTGGAAACAAAAGTATTTAAAAGAGAAAAATGCAGGGAAACTACGTACGAAAGACATCTCTCTTATATAGACCATCCGCTGCAATGACTACACATACAAAGGAGGAAAGTATAAAAAGGATAATGAATACTGGTTCTCATCAGACACAAGTGAAGAGCATAAAAAAATAGAACGTACCAGTTAAACGTATTGTCTTTCTGTGATTTAAACATTTGCCATCGCACAAATTAGATTAAATACAAAAGGGAAGGAGAAAAAAAAAAATTTTTTTAAGTATGGTGTAAGATATTTATACATTTTAACATAAACTTTACTAACACTAGCGCTTGTGTATTCGACATTTTCGTATAAATGACCTTTGGATTTTACTCCCGCTGACTATTAAAAAAATTTTTTTTTTTTTTTTGGAAATATAGTTTATTTTTAATAATATTTTAATAAAAGAAAGAAAAAAACGGTGAGATATCGGGCGAAAATTTAATGGATTTACTTGTGGCAACCAAATTTTCTTCTTCACATCTTGTAACTCCGCCTAATACTATCCGACTGCGGGAGATTTGAAACCCCAAATTGGGGTAAAGCGCCACACAATATGGCTGGTTCTTTTTGGTGATTCCCTACTGTGTTGAATGATTATCAAAAAAGGCGTTGAAATATAAAATGGAATGAATATAATAAAATAAATTGCTCGCCCAGAACCAAAAATTTAAAACCTTTACCAGGTCAAAACTTCAAATAGAATCTTGCGTAAGGATGTCTTTACTAAATATGCATCCAAATAATCGTTTGGATATCTAAATTTACCAGGTAATCTCATTTTGCCTAATCTCCTAAACAAGAAGGCTGGAGATATTTATAGGTCTGAATGGTTTAAATATTCGATCAGAAATTATTACAGAATATCATATTACTATACATAGATCTTAATTTACAATTGATGTATACACACACACATTATGAACTCAGTGGCTTAGTTGATCCGCCTCAAAAAACAAAATTTCGCCAGAAATAAAGTTCTATTGCTAATTTTATGTCAATTATTGTACCTTTAAAATAATCAATCCTTTTACTTTTATCAAAGTTTCAAAAGAATGAGAAACAAAAAGCTTTAGTTTGTACCGGGTATATCTTAATTATTAATTTCAACTCATTGGAAACACTAATTGAGGCGCGAAAAATTATTCCATAAAAACTTGACTTGTCATAATATTGATAAATTTGATAAATTTTTTAAATTTTTATATGTCCTAAAACACTAAAATAACGAAATCGATTGACCCAATATGACTAGACCCCATTACCTAATTTGTCGATCTAAGTCGATTTATGGCTATAACCTGTTTTCATAATTTTTTATTTGAATAATAATGATGCATCAAACTAATTAAACTACTTTAAAAAATGTTGTCTCGATAACAACCGCGATCACGTGGCTGACTCTTTCAGGACTTACCTTTTATTGGTGGGAGTCCAACGCATGTGTATCCACATAAAAGGTAATTTTAATAGTTTCAAAAGTGAACGGTTAGTAATTTGAATGATGATATCTCAATAACAGCAACAGAAAAATGTTGTTCGCTAAGTAATAGTTAGTTAAGAAGCATATACCATCCGGAAGAACTAGAAAATTTTCATGATCGTCTTCAGCTGGGTTTCTCGATTAAAACCGTTCATGTCTCCTCTCTAGTTTAAGTATTTTTTTGTTACCTGTTCTCGTTTCGCTTCGATAATTGGAGATCCAGATAAAAAGATTCTTGATCTACTGTATTTATATTTTGGAACTTAATAATAGAAACTTTTTGTGGCACTTTGTCAAATTTAAAGACAGATTTATAAATTTATTGTCACCATATGCATTTTTTTTTTGATTTATAATTTCCTGTGAACCATAAATAACAGTATTTACTACGTGCATAAGACAAGCCACACACATTACACCCATTATTTATTGCAAAATTGCATGAAATTTTCCGATGTTACCCAAAGAATAAACAAATCAATAACTTCTCGGACGAATATCTAAAAATAGACTTTTTAATTTGATTCAATCTCACTATTATTAACCCACCTAAGGAATCCAAACATAATCATAATAAACAAATTTTATTTACACATGCAGTTTCTAATTTAATATTATCAAAGAAGCGAAAAAATTTAAAGAAATTAAAATACAAGTGTCATTTAAATAAAAAAAATAAAAATAAAAATCCTACAAGGGGAATGAATCTATATGAATTATAGAATTACATAATTTAAGAAATAGAACATCCATTGTTCTCTTCTCCGTTTGGATTAAGTTGTTTTTCAATTTCACTTATCATGAGTTCAAAAATTCGAGCTATTTTTTTTTTTTTATAAGAATTAATTTCGAATAAAAAAATCTCAATCAAAAAAGTAAATAACAACCATAACATACTTATATTTTCATTATGCTTAGCGGATGCCTCAGTCCACGCACAATTCCATTGTCGAGCCAATTCTTTTCCTTCTTCAGAAGTTAATTGTCTTTCATAATTAAAATTAAATTTTAGTTTATAAAAAAAGTAATTCACTTTTTGAAATACACAAGAAACTCACCTTTGCATATGTAAATCAGTTTTGTTTCCAACCAAAACTATTGGTACTTCAGTCCCCGTGAAATTTAGGATCTTCTCTCGAATAATTTTGACCATTTCAAAACTTTGTCGAGATGTAACAGAATACACCAAAATATAACCATGAATTCCTACTCCATGCGTAGAATTCAAAATCGAGTGTTCATCCTGATTATAAGGAAAAAGAAAGGTTGAATTTGTTTCTACAAGTTTAATTCTTATTTTTTTGAATTATTTACCTGTCCTGCAGTATCAATAATTTCTGCCGCTATTTCCTGTCCCCTATACCTTATGACTTTATTAAATGTATTCTCAATAGTAGGATAATAGGAGTCTACAAAATGGTTTTCAACGAATTGAATAGTCAATGACGACTTACCTTAATAAAAAAAATATATATATTAATAAAAATATCAAGCGAAATAAAAAAGGAAATCATTCAACTCACCCACAGCTCGTGAACCTAACACAGCAATAGTTCTTGGCTTAGGGGAAGTCATGTCTCTTTTTTGTTCTCAAAATTTATTGTTTGAGATTTATTAATTTATATAACAAATAATAGATCCAGATCTAAGTGTGCCGCACACCGGTAGATCTTTTAATTGGCCTTTTTAGGTTAGATCAATCAACTCGACTGCTGGAAATAGCCGGCAGATAACACTTGAAAAACAAACTATAATCGAGATGATAGATAAGGTGGCGTTTCTTTTTTTTTTTTAAAAAAAAAAAAAAGTAAATGCATGAGCCTATTCTGGTATAGATAATCTAATAAATATGTGTGAATATCACAATTACAATTTCAAATAATTTCAATTTGTCAAATTTCCTCTAATAAAATGTCTTTTACACAAGTTTCACCTGGTAGTAAAGTTCTTTTGATTAACTCATCTCACTCGGATCCTTCTCAGCTTGACGAAGCTAAATCACTTTTGCTGCGACAGGTCACTGAAAATGGTCTTGTCAATATTGAAACTTTAAGTCGAATAGTTCAAGGTTACATTTTAACTCTTGATTTGCAAATAATTATTTTCAATCAAACTTTTTGATTTATTAAGCATGCGTATATTTTATTATTTCTAGGCGATCTCCCGAATTCCACATACAATATCATTTATACTAATTATTTTGGCACCTTAGCTTCTGCTCATAATACCGCAACACTTTCAAAATTTGCTTCGACACTGGTACCAGGTGGTATTCTATACCTCAAGGAACCCGTCTTGCTCACTTTAGGATTTGCAGAAATTCCAATCACTCGCACGACTCAAGATTTAATTGGTGAACTCAAATTATCTGGATTCGTAGATTTTGAAATCAGAAATGCTACTAAAGTTGAGTTTAATGATTTAGCCAATATCATAGAGCAAGTTTGGGGAATAACAGATGAGAATAAGAAAAAAGATCTTGTTCATTCATTATATGGCCAGTTACATTTAGTAGAAGTTGTAGCTAAAAAACCAGCATACGAAATTGGTGCTTCATTTGCTTTGCCATTTGCCAAAAAAACTGCAAACGGTATGTTACAAAAACATTTATTTTATTTTATTTTAAAAAAAAAGAAAATTAAATAATGAATAAGAATTAACTGTAAATTCGTTTTTTGTTTGTTCAACAGGTAGTACTACAAAGAAAGCCTCCATATGGACACTTTCTAATGATGATGATGAATTCGAGGACGAAGATCAATTGTTAGATGATGAAGATTTGGTCAAACCTGATAAGAGCACTTTAATTAGTAAATATCATTTGAAGTAGCATTAATTTATATTTTTATTTTTTACTATTATTTATATATATTATTTGTAATTGTAGGACCTGATTGTGAAACTGGCGGAAAGAAAAAGGCTTGCAAGAATTGTTCATGTGGTCTTGCCGAAGAATTAGAAAAAGAAAGTAAACCAGCACCAAAAGCTCAAACTTCATCTTGTGGGAGTGTACGTATAATGTAAAGTGCTGTTATTCAAATTTAGTGATAACTTGATTACTTATGTTGTTTTCCTTATTCAGTGTTATCTTGGAGATGCGTTCAGATGCTCAACATGTCCATACCTTGGAATGCCGTCTTTTACTCCTGGAGAAAAGGTTGTGCTTGGAGGCAATATGATGCAGGATGATTTATGAATTAGAAAACAAAAGTGAATTTTATAATAGATTTACTTTGTATAAATTGCATGATGTTAGACGAGAAAGTTGAAATTATCGGAAAATTCGGATGTATTAGAGTTATTTATAATTGATTTGCACCATTTCTTGTACCTTACGATATATAAAAAAGTGATATGAAGCCCCTTAATGACTTGAATGAAATCTTGAATTAAATTATTTATTATGTATATGATATTCTATCTCAATAATAAAGATAAATTCTATTTATAAATAAATTCTAATATATATATATATAATAATAATAATAACAATGTTATCGAATGATATGTATGAAACACTCCAAGAACGAATTTCATACAAACGGTTTTTTTTTGAAACTCGATCCCTATTTCGATAAATAAGTTAATGATCTTAAGATGAAACTTTTACGATATTTAATGTCAAACAAATGGTCATAACGCATAGACCATAAATCATTAAACACATGGCCAATATTTTCTTTTTATCCCATGGATCATTTTCATGAATTTTATAATAAAATAATCCTGGTAATATAAAAGAAATTGCGGTGGATCCCGTTGATCCTACGAATGCAAGTACCTGATTTGTAATGGGAGGTTGATTAATAAGATGATAAGTGAAATCTTGTCATGTGAGGAACATGATATCATTTACATACCAAATCTAATTTTGACACCGATATAGCGATGATATAACTAAATATCAGAATACCGGTAGTTAATCCGAAATAATTTACATTTGACATCTCTGATGAAGGAAGTTTCTTATAACCATTCGTGGATTTTGATCTATAAAAAAGTAATTTTTCTAGACAAGCGCGTGCCGGGTGCGCTTGTAATGGATATGAGAAAAGTATGCAAATCACAAACGCAATACGACCGATAGTAACAAAAACACTTGATTTGTCTACGTTCAAGGTGATTAAAAAAAAAAACGAGAAGGCGAGCTTAGTTTTTTGGTTCCAAATGAATAAATCTACTCCTCTTTGCTTTTTTAAAAAAGGTAAAACCCTTACACATCAAAATGACGTTTGGAAAGACGTCATCACCAAAACTCAAATATCCCAATATTCCAATGACCTGATATATTGTGGCCGAAGTTCCGATCGCACCAATGTACACACTGTTAATATTTTTTTGACTATTGTCCGCAAGTTCATTATAAATCGAAAAGATCTAAAAGGAGGGAAGATACCAACGGTTATATTTAATTAGGAATCCAAGCAAAGTTAACAAGCTCATGCGTTCATTACTTAATCACATTACTCACATTTTGATGACACGTGAAGGCAAAAACAAAAATTGGTAAATTTGTAAAAAATTTTGTTGAAAATTTCACAAGATGTATTTTTTCTTTTGGAGGGGCTTTATAATCAGGTCCGAAATAATGATAAATAACGATAAATACCAAATAAACCACAGCAATTAATGCGATGAAACTAGTATGCCTTAGAGAATCAAGTCTCTTTAAGAATGCCAAAGGTACGATGACGAACATAAAGACAGTTATCCAAAATCGTCGATCCATAAATATTGAGTACTCATCGACAAAACTATCTCCGAAACCGTTAATCACTTGCGGCATTAAATCACCGATAATGATTAAATATGAAACGGCAACTCCAAAACATTTTATGGCAATTGCGGCATCAAATAATGAGGATGCCGATGGATAAGTTAATTGTGATACAGCAAAAAATGATGCATTACGACTTTTTGTATATGAAGCGCTACGGGACAAGAAATATAATCCAAGTCCAGAAGTGGTTGCCGCAAAAATTATCATCATACTACCAAGTAAAAGTCCGACTGATGCTATGGCTGCTGGCTAATCATTTCCAATAAAGTGAAAATGTATTTCATCAAAAAAAAAATTAAACCAAAATAAATTAATAATTTACCATAGCTAACATCCCTGTTCCAAGAATGGTGTTGGCAAGATTGATCTACTTTTTAAATAAATCTAAATAAGTTTGAAATAAAACCAAGATATTCGTTCGATATTTCATTTGTCGTTAACTTGATTTAGTTAAAGACAAGGCGGATTCTCCTTTCGTAACAAGATGACCTACCGCGCACGAGTAATAACTAGCGAATCCATGATGTGGTCCGCCGTGTCCTTCATCCTCATAATCGCTTTCATCCTCGATCTCTATATCTCCATTTAATAATGGTGACCGATCTATTGGATTATTATTTTCGAATATGGTATTGCTTGCTGAAGAAGGCCTTCCTTCTCCTTCGATTTGGATCGAAGAGTAGGTTGACATTTGAAATTTAAGAAATTGTTACAAAAAAATATATTTTTTTTTTAATTTTTTTCTTTTATAAAAAAAATCACATTCTCTAATACGCATGGGATCAACAAATTATGTGAATGCATGCAAGTTTGAACTTCACGTAAATCAGGATAACTAATTAGCCAAATTGGGGTGTGCATGTGTGCATGCGTATTGTCCCTCATGGTTTCAAGACAAAAATAAATATGTAGCCCTCACAAGAAACAATTTAATATCTTACCTCTATTTTATCAAAAATTTCTTTCTTTAAAGTATACTTTATGGAATTCGAGTTTCATGGCGTATAAAAATTCTCTGCCGAATTCTCAAGATAGATGGAAAGTTTCTGATACTTATAATACTTTATATAGCGAGAAAAACATTCACAACGAAATCACTTTGTCTCTGGTAGACTCGGCAGATACGAAAAGTAATAAACATGGAATTTCGGAAAAACTAAGTTATACTACAAAAGATAATATTAATAATTCAACCACAATGCCTTTGCAACCAAAAGGGAGTTCATTTGTTACGATGGCTTTATTGGCCACCCAGATACAGGCTTTAGAATCGGAACTTATAACGGTTGGGAAGAGGAAAAAATCGAAACGAAAAAATAATTTTGATCAAATTAATACTTCTTTATCATCTAAATATGATGAAAAAATTCATTCTCCGATAAGTCTTGAGAATGACCTTCTACAATATAAAAAACATGAAAGAGATGATAGTTATTCAGATTCAAGTTTACAATTTCTTTCATCGAATAATTCGGTTAGCGCAACCAGCACACGTCTTACAACTCCAGTTGACTCGAATTTTGATTTTACGAAATCTGAACTTTCCCCACCAAATACGGATGTTAAAAACTCATTCAACGTTTATCAGAAAGATGTAGAAGAAATTCAATTTCTCACAAACAAACTTGAAGAACAACAACAGCAACACAGGGGAGAGCTTGAAAAATTACGAAAAGAACATATTACTCAATTAAATAAAACAATGCTAGATTATGAAAAGTCAATAAATGATCAAAAGAAAGAATTTGAAATAGCTATTCGAGAACTTAAAAATATTATGGAAAAAGAAAACAAAACAAAAATGGATAAATTAAGAAAAGAATTGACTAATCAAAGTAAAGGTAATGAAGAAAAAATGATGAATGAACTATCTATTCGTTATGAATCTCGAACAGAAGAATTAATGAGGCATCATGATATAGAAAAGAATAAAATTGTAAAGGAATTAAAGTCCATGAAAAAGTTAAAAGAAAAGTCGGAGGATGAGTTAATAGAAAATAAAAAGATTTTCCAAAGTGAAAAACGGTCCATTAGGCACGAATATGAGAGAGAGATAGAAATACTTCGTGATGAACATGTAAATCAGTTAGATTCCATGAAGCGAGGAGAAACCAAAAAAGCTTTTATGCAAATAAGGGATCAATTAGTCCGCATGAGAAGGGATGGAGAGAAGGAACTACGGAATAGGATGGGAGAACTAATGCATGAATTGAGTGAAAAAGAAGCTGCCGAGAATTCTTGGATCAAATATAAACGAGAAAAGGAATCCACTTTATTAAATTTAAGAATTCAGCTGAGTTCTTTGGAAACGACAATTCAACAAAAAGAAACCAAAATAGTTGAATTACAGGATGAGCACGCTCGTTCATGGAAGGAAATATGTGTTCTCAATAAGAATAAGGAGAATACCACTAAGATGATAGAAACGTTCCAACAAAAAACTGAAGAGATAATTAAGGATTTGAAACGACAATTGGATGTTAAGACAAAGGCAGAAGGAGAATTTGAGCCAATTGTCAAGACGCTTCGTGAACAATTAAATGGTGCTAATGAGGAGCTTTCGAACTTACGAGTTCAACTATACGATTTAGGACTAAAATTCAATGAAGAAAAAGAACGTTGTGAAGACTTGGAAAGACTGATCGAAAATAAATCAGATTTGATAAGCAAACTTCAACTTCAATTGGAACGTAGGAAAGCTGAAAGTGAAGAATTAGAATCAAATAAGAAGATGGATTTACAAAATTTCAAAGACAGACAAGAACAATCCATAATGTTACTTCGTACGAATTTGAAAACTGACCATAAAAAAGAATTACAAGAACTTCGTGATCGACTTGTGAAAGAATATGAAATTAAATTAAAAGAATTAGCCGATCATAATTCGAGGATAGAGCGAAATAGTGTACAAAATTCTGAAACTGTAGAGGAATTAAAAGAAACAACTCGTCGTCTCGCAGGTGTAGAGTCTGCTTTTAAAGAATTAAATGCTAAACATCAACAACTTATACATAAAAATCAGCAATTGACAAATGAAATTTCCTTTTTTCGTTCTAAAGTTGAACAACTTGAGACTGATAATCTTGATTTAAAAGAAAACAATATATTAGTCACATCAGAAAAGGTAAAGGTGGCCGAAGAACTGAAGGACTCAAAAGATGAGATGAAACGATTTCAGGATGAGTGTTCAATAATAAGAAATAAAATGATTGAATTGGAGAATGAACGTGATAGATTTCAAGAAATTGAATCTCAAAGAGTCAGATTGGATCATGAACTAGCAAAACTTAAATCTGATTATAGTATAAAGATAAAGGCAACTGAAGAAATGACTAATGATTTAGAAACCGTTGAAAAACAAAAAGAGTCTCTATCCAAATTATTGGAAGAACATCAAAATGGTATGCAAACTTTTATGAAAGCAATTGCAGCTGAACGAGGGACTTGGTCTCAGAAAGAATCCGATCTTATTTCTAATTATGAAATTGAACTGAGAGATAGAGATTCAGAATTAGAAGGACTTCGTAGTGAATTGGTTCATATTAAGAAACATTCTGACGGGTTAGAACAACGTTTGCAAGTATCTCAAGAATATGAAATAAAACAATTAGAACTAGCACAAAAATATGAAGAGGCGTTACGAGAATGTGCAAATAAAGAAAATGAAATATTAGACCTTAAAATGTTTAAAAAACAATCACAAGCACGTATTGAAAGTTATGAGTCTTCAACAAGCCGTTTGACATCAAAGTTACGGACCATTGAAGCTGACGCTGATCGAGTAAAACAAAATGCGGATGTAAAAATAAGTGACCTTCAAAGCCGACTTAGAGTTTCAATGACAGAAATCGAAGATTTACATAATCAAGTCTCGGATCTTAAACAAAAACTCATTGAGAGGGAGGCTATGATACAAAATCATTCCCGTACTAAAAGTCGAGATGGTCCTAACGATACTTTTAAATTAAATTCACTTACAAAGCAAATTGAAAAATACAAAGCTACTCAACAGAATCTCGAAGCTCAAATAGCAGATCTTACCCAAAAACTCCAAAAAGTACACCAAGAATATAAAGAAGAAAAATCCCATATTTTCAATGATCACCAACGATCACTGCAAGCGTTGAAGCAGCAGCAAGATGATGAAATTACAAAGATAAACACAACGATGCAATCACGACTAACAACACTTGAAAAACTCCAACGTAATATAAAAAATGCTACAGATCATTTAAGTAATGGTAACGAACAACGTTTGTCAGAATTAGAGAATTCTTTGAGAGAGTCACGTTCCAAATGTGAGAAATTGAATGATAAACTTAATAGTGCTCAACAAAAATTTGAAAAATCTATAAATGAAAAAGATAAGATGACAAAAGAAAGAAATGATATGAAAAAACGAGTAGAATCTTTGGAAGAAGAATTACAAGAGGTAAACATATTTAACTTTTTCTATATTATATTTTTGGATTCTTTATTAATATCTTATTCTTAACTACTTAGGTTCTTGCGAAAAATGTGAAATTAATAATAGAAATGAGTAGCATGAAATAATTTATTACATACAATTGCCAATTTTTGAGCATTAATTTATTTAATTTATTCCATCTTTTTAATATATGTATTTTTAGCATTGATCATTCATGTAGTATAGAATACAGATAGAAAAAGAAGAAAAGTAGAGGAAAAAATCAAAATCGACATTGTACAATTTACAAATATCATTAATTTTTACATTGCAAAACTTAATAAATATGTATTTTACTTAAAATAATAAAGAAATTTATATCACTAATCAAAGTATTTAATTTTTAGCTTATGTAATTCACATGACATTTATCCATATGATTGGATAATAAATTAAAGTTTTTTTTAAGGTTATTGCAAAGTTAGAAGAAACAAGAAAAAATTGGAAAAACTTGAGATTTATAAACAGGAGGATTAGATAAGTTGCTACTAAAGATGAAAAAGTGAAAGAAATTATGATAAATAATCTTAGAAAAGAAAAAAAAATGCAAGAATAAATGATATATTTGTAAAAAAAATCAGAATTTAAGATAAAAGGTAATAAACAATAAGGGTGCAAACATTTATATGAGTTATAACTTTAGTTATAACATTAATAAGATATAAAAAGGTTATAATATATACAATTAAATTTTATATGCTATATGCCGTATCATATGCCGTATGTTATATTATATGTCATATGACGTATAATATGCTAAATGCCGTATCATATTTTATATGCTATATCGTCATATTACTTATATGCTAATTTCGTTTTTTATT